TATATATATATATATATATATATATATATATACAGTGCTTTTTTTCTCTTAAATCGCGTTCCGGCACCGTTTTTTGATATATATAATTTTTTTGCTTTATGTAAACATTTTTATATTATGAAGTTAGTTCATTTTGAAAGCACTTTTTGCAGATTTTAAGCACTTTTTGCAGATTTGAAAACATAACAACGATGCGTTTCAAAATTTGTTTAAGAAAAATTTCTTTTCTTTTTTTTTTATAAGAAAAGAATTAAAAAAAAACGCTAATATAATAGCATTTGTTTTTATGACGTCATTGTTTTTCCAATAATAAATCTTACAACTATATGTCTTTTAAATTTTTTTAAAAGAAATTCTATTGTTTATGTGCAGTGTTTTTCCGAATACTATTCTCACAATGTCTTACGCTACTTAAAAAATTTTTAAAATACAAACTATACACTGTTTGCAACAGCAATTTTTATTATATCGTTAATGAATTTCCTGTTATTAGCGTTAAATTCAAAGTTATAACCTAATTTATTTTTTTAAATGGCTATATAAAAATATCAATTAAACAAAATAACACAAAACTAATTATGAAAAAAAATTACCAGTTTTTTCTTGGTGGACTCCCCTGAAAAAAAAAAATCAAATTAAATGTAAAAAAACAACAGATGAAATCAAAATTTCAGCGTTAGATTTACCTTCTGCAGAAAATTAAACCAATTATAGCTAGCTAGTTAAGTTGCTGGACTTTAGAGCAAAAAACAGCATTTTGTTCCAAAAATGAGTGGCTTTGTTATCGACAAAAAAAGCGCGGTTGCACTACTTGCCAAAAAGTGAAAACCCTTGGCGTAGAAGCTAAGATGGGAATGGAAATGTCTAAAGAATGGTCCAATTATGAAGTCTCCTATTATGGTGAAGATAGAAAGCAACAGTTAAGTTCGTTACATAAGAAAATATTTGATCACAAATAATCTGCTGGATATCAAGCTGCATTAAAGATGGTAGAAGAAGCTAAAAAAGAGACTCTGTCAAACAATATTTTCAAATCTTTAACATGTGAGAAAGTTTTTTGAAGTCAGAGTAAGATTTTGATAATAATTGATGAATCAACCACTATAAGCCAAAAATCGACACAGATAGTGTACATTCGGTGCTGTGTAAAAGGCAGCAGAATGAATTCACCAATCAATTTATTTTTGGATTTAGTAGAGCTTGAAAGTGTTATGGCTAAAGGACTATTTGATGCTTTACTTAAATGTCTTCATTCTTATGGGATGAAAGATGAGTATTTGAAAAATTGTTTATTTGTGTAGCATGTGATAGCGCAGCAGTGATGTTAGGATGCAAAAGTGGCGTTTTCAAATTTTGAGTGTAATCGACAGTTATAGTATTGTCTTTCAATACTTTTAATAAAAAATCTTAATAATAAGAAGAGAAATTTTTTTCTTATATAAAATTGGCCCCCCTCATTTGAAAAATGAAATATTTTTTTCTTATATAAAATTATTGAAATTTTTTTTCAAAATTACGTGGTGGTGAAATTTTTTTTTTCAAATTGTGTGACAGGTGGGTTAAGGTGCATTTAAGGCATGACAGGTGGGTTAAGGTGCGGTTAAAAAGAGGTTAGGGTTAAGGTAAGGTAAAAAAGAGGTGTGATAAGTTAAGGTAAGGTAAAAAAGAGGTGTGTACACTCTTTTTTTTTTGCTAATTGCACCTGCTAATCATAGTAATCGCACCTCTTTTTTAACTAACTGCCCTCTAGTTAAAAAAGGTTTTGTGTAATGTAAATGGCTTAATGCGTAGGTGAAACTGCCATTTTGTAGAAAAATGAATTGCGATGGGCCTAAGTCATTTAGCGATCATGAAAGTATATTATTTGAAGCAATCACGATTGCTAATTTTTATATTTCTGGGCAACAGTATTAATGAAAAAAAGTTTAATCATGTTTAAAATGGTGTTGGTACAAAGTAATCTAGTAAGACAAATATCTTATTGATAACTGATAAACTCGACGGTTAGTTTGTTTAAAGTTGTTATAAGAAATAGATAATTTTATAGTTGATAAAAAATTAAGTAATTGACCATTAAGAATTACCCACAAACAATTCGGCCTTATTAAAAAAAAAACTTAATTGCAAAAAAGCAAACATAAGATAATAATGGAGTGTTAAAATTTAATTTAAATTTAAATTAAATTTAAACCTTAAAATTCTTTTAAAGACCTAATATCTATAAATTAAACCTAATAAATATAAATTAAACCTTTTTTTTTCGGTGAGTTCCAGCACTTTTTTTTCTAAAAAAAAAGGTGCTGGAAATCACCGGAAGAAAATTTTATGTAGATAAATAGAAATTTGAAAATGCCACTTTTGCATCAAATTCTGAGAAAGAAATTTCTACTTCTTTAGACATAGTTTGTTAATATTATGATGCAAGCAAATTATGTGCACTTAATTTTATGAAAATTAAGTGCTCTTCTTTTTTTATCTAAACATATCATTGTTACAAAAACACTTTGAGGATTTAAACATTATACTATCATTAATTAATTTTGATTTTTCTATTATTGGTATAACTGAAACAAAGTTAAAGAAAGGAACATCCTCAATTAATTCAATTCTCATTGAAAATTACAACATTGAGCTCACACCAACAGAATCTTTTTGGAAACTATTGCATTAACAAGTTGCTATTGTCTCAGCGTCAATTCATTAGAAAAATAAACTTTCAACCAATTAAATCAGATACATCGAAGTCCTTCAAAAAACTTTTCATTCTAACATTTTCAGCTAGTAAAGTATGCTAATCTTCTTTTTGTTTTTGACTCCTTAAATAAAAACTTACCATCCCTATCACAAACTTGTTCACAGAAAGTTGACTATTACATTCCTACTCTACTAGAAATATACACAATGAAGAACTAAATCTTTTAAAACCCAGAAGTATAGTAAAAATTCTATTGTTTATCAGTGCGTCTGTGAATGGAACAGGAGCCTTGCATGCCTTTTGAATGAGTCCGAAAAACTGTATCCTAAAATACCTTTATTCCATCTTAAACACTAAAAAGTTTTTCTGAATTTTATAAATCAATTTTATAAAATTCAGAAAAACTTTTTATTTTTTAACTTTTAGACATTATTTTTACGATTAAAATATTCTTTTAATTTTCTTTTCGTCATTACTACAATTATCATCAGTACTTTTTGTTTATTTTTTTCTTTTTTTTATTATTAAAACCTGCGAATTATGATTTCTATATGTTTGTTTTAATTTATGTTCTATGTACTTTAATCTATATGTTAATCAATGCTTTGTTTCAATGTCTTTGCTTATTATTACTTATATTATGTTTAAAAATTAGTGTCACTCATTTGATCAGATTTCTGTATGAGTGACACCATCCTAAATGAATCATTAACTTATTATTATAAATAATTTTATGCTCATAACTACCATTATAATATTAGTTATTATTATTATTTTTTTGTTGTAGTTATTGTAAACATACATATTATTACTATTACTATAATTTTTATTATTTTTTTTTTATCTTATATTACTATAATATATTATTATTACTATTTTATTGTTATTATTATTGTTGTTATCAAAACTATTGTAAAAATGATTTACGGAAAATAAATTGCTTGTTGTTATTGTAAAATATTTAAATTTTTTTAGAATGCTGTTATGTTTATGAAGCACGCAAAACGTACATGTTTGACAACTGAAGATTTTAACAATGCTTTAAAAGAAATGAACACTGAAGTAAGTGTTTTGCTTTTTGAAGCTCACATAACATACAAAAGAACTTTTAGTACAAAAAATAATGCAGTTTTCAAATATTGAAAATTTTAAATTTAAATTATTGTTAATATTAAAAAAATTGTTTAAAGAATTAAGGCTAATAATATTTTGTTTGAAGATAATCTATGGACATGGAGATGCTGAAGCTCTTATTTATAAAGCTATTCCATTTAAAGATGGCAGAGTTTGTTATGTTGATGAAAAGGATAAAAATTTGCGGGATATTGCTCTAGATTCTGTGTATCCCATGGTTGGTGGTGAAACCATTGTCAAAGGTATTTTATGCTAATATAATTAAGAATCTATTGTTATGAAATTAATTTTTTATGATATCATTAAATTTCTTTGCCATTTTTTTTTTAAGATCGAATTTATTTAACTCTGGTAATCCAATTGAAACAAGTACCAAATGTTCGCTAAATTCTTATACAATGTTGATTAAATATATCTTCATTAACTTTTTTTTTTTAATGGTTGCTACACAAATAATTGCTTTTAGACATTAATGATTAGTATAATTCCCACTAGACATTATTAATGGTTGTTACATAAATAATTCTCTTTGGTCATTATTTCTGCATCAAGGAATTCTTGTTTAAACTCACTTGAAAAATCAATGGGCTAAATAATAATTAGGCGGTACATGAGATAACAGCAAATCAATATTCTTCTTGACATTTTGGCTATAAATATTATTAAAAATATAGTTAGATATTAAAAATAAGCAAAGATAACAGTTTTTATCTTCTGAAATAATTTATAATAATTTATGTTAATTAATTTAGGATCTCAAACTTTAAAAACCTGTTTTCTTGAAATTGTCATGTATGGACAAGTGTATTTTGTGCTTTAAACTGTCAAAATAATTTAAGAATTATTTTGATGGTTTAAAATATAGGATATTTAATTAAGCATAATATTCTTATTAATAATTCTAATAATAGACTATAAGAACGTTACAGTTATAGTATTTTTAATTTTATTATTTTATCTGTTAATTTTAATTTTGTATTGGTTGTTTTTAGAGTGTTTTTAGAGTGTCACGATTGCTGCCCCATCGCAAACCCTCAGTCGATGTAGCAGCACTCTACTGCGAGTCAGGCTATTTGTCAGTCGATGTATGTACTGAAGCCCCCAGCCGCAGACTATTTCAGTATGATGTCAAATTGCTTACCTTAGTACGCAATACTATTTGTGTGTATATATATATATATATATATATATATATATATATATATATATATATATATATATATATATATATATATATTATATATATATATATATATATATATATATATATATATATATATGTATCATCATTATCATCATTATTTATATTCATTTTCTCATTATTTAATTATTATTTTTATATTATCATTGTTTATCATAATTTTATTATCATTTTGTAAGAATTGAACTGCTAAAGTGATTATTTCATCAAGGCTAACACTTTTTACTTTTTTAAATAGTTTTAGAAGGTTTTTTGGTAATAGTTTATACAGTCTTTGATTGTGAGCTTTGAGTCAATTAATTTGATAAATCTAATGAAACCATCAGTTGACACTAGATTGCATGAAGTGTTAGTGCGAAAAGTTTTAGAGAAATTAAAATTTTATTGTTTTTTAAAATTTCAAATAATAAAAGTATAAAAAGAAAAGTTTTGTTGTTTTTGTAAAAGCTTACTTGATTGATTATTTTGTAAAAGCTTTCTTAATTGATTATTTTGTAAAAGCTTACTTAATTGATTATTTTGTAAATGCTTACTTGATTGATTATTTTCAAGATAACTTAAAAGCAATATAAGTTATTAGAAGAAAAACATCTAAAATCAATCAGCTATTTTTTTACCTGTTTTTTTAAAAAAAAAGTGAAAATGTTTTTATTAAAATAACTTGTAACAGATAAAAGAAAATTAAAAAAGTACAAATAAAAGAACAATTAACAAAGTAAGCAGAATAAAATTAATTAGAATTTTATGTTCAATTTAAAAAACTGTAGACCTTAAATGTTTATTAATTTATCATTTGATGATATTTTAAAAGAAATCATTGATTCTGTAAAATGCACATTTTATGGATTTTTTTGTTGTTGTTTTTCGCAGCCTAATATTTCTGACAATCATGTTGAACCTAGTACTACCAGAGAGGGATATGTGGGGATCAAACTTGGTACTTTTTGCTTATTAAAATAGTGTGAGCAATATAATGTACGTATGTATATATCAGTCCTCGGAATAAGGGTTGGCAATGACGACCTAACGGTCGACTTAAAAGTTTTGAAGGTCAGCCAAAAATCATTGACCTCATTTCTATGTTTTATGGTAACCCCTTTGTATAAAAGTTTTTTTGCTGACCAATGCTGACTATTATATACATATATATATATATACATGTGTGTATATATATATATATATATATATATATATATATATATATATATATATATATATATATATATATATATATATCCTTATAGTGTAGTCGAAATAGTCTTTTAATGTAAAAAAAGTCTCTTTCAACTACAATTTTAATTACCTCGTCTCTTAAGCTGTATTAATTGTCGTCGAAATGTCAAAGCAATTAAATTAATGCGGAAGTACATTAAATTTTATTGTTTTTAAAAAAATTTTTAAAAAACCGCAATAATAACAACTAGAAAGTTTTTTTTAATTAGCGGTGTTTTTGTTTTTGTTTTAATAAAAAACATTTTTAAAACATGCGTAAATGTTGCTACATCGACTATCTTATAGCCTGCTGCTACAAGGGAGTGTTTCTACATCGGTTATCGTATAGCCTGACTCGCAACAGAGTGCTGCTACATCGACTGACAAATAGCCTGACTCGCAAGGGAGTGCTGCTACAATGACTGACAAATAGCCTGACTCACAAGGGAGTGCTGCTATATCGACTGAGGGTTTGGTTTGGGCAGGCAGTCTATCATTTAAAAAAATATATATATATATATGTTTTTAAACTTTTTCTGGTCTGGTTTATTAACGCGCTCTTTCAAACTACAGTTTATGGGAAACTCTTTTTGACTACCATGCAAAAGTATATATATATATATATATATATATATATATATATATATATATATATATATATATATATATATATATATATATATATATATATATATATATATATATATATATATATATAATATATATATATATATATACATATATATATATATATATATATATATATATATATATATATAT